ATAGCAAGGAAGAAAAAAGTATCAAATACAGCGATTGGAGAGTTTTGTGCCCTTGGACAAGTCCGTTAACCCCTTGTTAGTTTTCTTGCCTTTAAATTGGACATGATCATCAGATATTCCGAAGATGCTATGGGGATGGAATAAATATTATGCAGCACATATTTAGACTGAGAGGGGCAAATGGTAGCTGCTCAGTGAGCATCGGCTCTTGCCACCCAGGGTCTTCAGTCATGCAAAGGGTGCCAGTCCCTTCTCTTTGCTCTTGGTCCTCATCTCGTATCTTTCCCAGCAACAACTGTGTTGTTGTGTCACCCCCCCCCCAGATTGTGACTGCCACTGGGAGTGTCTAGATCTTGTCATTTTGATCTCACCCCTTCTGCAGGGTCTAACATGAAGCAGGTGTTCAGGAGATAATAGATTGACTGGTGGCTAATCCCTCCTTAAGTCCATATGACTTATCTTTGTTAACAAAACAGACCCTGCAAACTTTGGTTTGACTTTCTAACAATCTCTAGGGGTTTATTTCTAAGGGAAAAGTGAAAAGTAAGAACAGTTTTATTCTGCTCTATCCTACAATTTCAGCACGAAGTATGCAGAGATGCTGCAGTTGATTAAGTCAGGTAGGAGCAGGAGAGCTGGGGGCATAATGAGTTGCAGCGAAGCCTCTTCATGAGTGAACGAGTGTGGCTTTTATCGTTAACACGGTGTGAGAGAAAATCACAGCCTCTTGAAAAGGACCTGCTATTGCACAACTTAAGGAAAATCTTTATGTCTCTTAAACGTTAAGTGGAAATCTACTTAATCTTCAGGGAGCAGTCTTTTGTCAACAAACAGAATCTCTTCATCAGAAGGCTAGGAGTGAAGACTCACTCCTATAACACTGGAAGGCAGAAGCTGTACCATCTTTTAAAGTTTGAGGCCAGCGTAGGCTACATAGTAAGTTTCTGGCTAGCCAGAGCTATGACAAAATCATATCTCTAAACAAACAAATAAACAAATTGGGGGTGAAGAGATAGCTTATGGTTAAAAGCTCTTGGGTTTTGCTCTTGCAGAGGACCTGGTATGGATTCCTATCACCCACAATGTGGTTCACATGGTGATGTAACCTCTGTAAGTCCTGCTCTAGGGGATCCAACACCCTCTTCTGACTTCTGTAGGCATTAGGCACTCACATGGGTCATGTACATATATGCAGGCAAAACATTCATACACATGCAGTAAATAAATATTTTTTAGAAAACCCAAACCAAAACAACATATCAAAGATCCTTTCTTCTTATCATTATACTAAAAATTGTGAACATTTATTGAAAATGCTCTTTAGATCTGTAGTTTGTTTGTGGTTTCTTTTCAGAAATCGACAGACAATTCATGAAAATGTTTCTGAACTACTGTTTGCATACATGGTAATGATCAGGCTGAAAGACCAATTCTTGGCAGCCTTGGGCTGTTCATTGCAATTATATAATAACAATGGTAGCAAAGCAATTAACAGACTGTAGGCTATGATGTACGGCGTGTTACATTATAAACACATCGTAAAAATGGAGCTGTGTGGTTTTCTCTTTGAGTCTGGCTTCTCCATATTTCAGAATCCGAATGATTCAGAACAGAGCCAGAGGCCTAGATAAATTCAGAATTACCTTTGAGCTCCATGGAAAGGAAATCGGATACAGATGAGCTTCCTCCATAATTGCTTACACTGAGCCATGTGAAGACACATGGTGGTGGCCTTGGCTTCTGCTTTTTAAAAAATAAAAAATATGGAGGCAGAGAAAAAACTTTTCTTGGAAAACCAGGTTTTGATAAATGAGTTATTTGGTGACGTTTACTCTGCATGGTCTCCAACAAATATTGTGGTCAGAAATTAAAGTGGATTGGCCCTGAGCATAAAGCAGGGAGGATTTGATACAAGGGCTTTCTGAAGGATATAGCCAGGGAATAGCAGATGGTTTACTGCCATCCTCAGAATTTCTGAGGACTCCCTTGAATGAAGAGATGTGTTGAGGCTTACCCTTGATAAGATAGTGCTGGTTGGTAGTTTTTGGCCATGTATTCTAGCATTTTAATGTCTTGTCATCTGCACCCACTACATGCGTGGTGTGGTGTGGTGTGTGTGTGTGTGTGTGTGTGTGTGTGTGTGTGTGTGTGTGTGTGACACCATTAGGGAACTGTAGGGGCTTGGCTTCTACCCTGATACCTGAGGTTCATAGTCATTGGTGGGAGCAATGAGAGGTATAGTGGTTTGATCTCTAAACCTTAGAGATTATGAGCTGCCTGCTCAAGACTAGATGGGAGGCCAGGTAGAAGCCATTGGACCAGCTTCTGAACTCTCTATCAGGTGTGTTTAATCCATGACCTGTGGACCATGAGTGGCCTAGGATAGCTATATTAGTGACCCAGCACAAAATCATACCATATAATCGGAGGTGTTATATTGTGACTTTTCTTTTCATAAACTTGATTGTGAAGTTGTTTATAGTCGACAGCACCATGCTACAGTGTCGAAAGACTGGACACGTCTGGTGGATGGAGGATGACAGTGATTTGGAGAAAGGTAGCCAATGGGAAGTAAATGGGTGGGTCTAAAGGGAAAATAAAGAGTTGTTAATGGGTGTGACGGATGTGGAAGGAAGGGTTTGGTGTGGCTTTGTCAGTCAGAGCTGGACAGCGGTGAGGACGGAGTTTTGGTGGCTGAGGAGGAGTGGGGGTAGGAAATGAGTAGAGTGTTCGTCACCATCCTGGAACTCCTCCCTGATGGACTCTGAATTCTCCTGAGCCTGGGCTTTCCTCACAGTTGCCCTGTAACCTTTGGTCTCACCTCAGGCACACACGTGTGTGTGAGAGCAGATACACACACATGCAAGGTCTTACTGCGTAGTCCTGGCCAACCTGGAACTCACTATATAGAACCAGACTGACCTTGAACTCTAGAGAGCCACTTGCCTCTGCCTCCCAAGTCCTAGAATTAAAGGTGTGTGCCGCCACACTCAGGATCTCTTAAGGGCTTGGCTGACCTTCCCACCCTGAGTTTGTGTCTTTGGAAAGTGGTCATGGAATGGTGACAGGCTAGTGCCTAGTAAGACCCCTCAGTCAGCTGGGATCCAGGTAGAGGTTGGAAGGGTCTGAGCTATGACACGTAGTTCCCTACAAATGGACCTTTGGTAGTGGAAGTTAATCTTAATAATGATGACGGGCACCTTCATGAAGGGAAGTTAATTAGAAGTCTTTATAGTCAGAATACAAAATGAGAGCCATTGTAAGCATCTCAGAAAGACACTTGTTTAAACTGTCTGGACGAGTTTGTTCTGAATTGGATTGTTTCTTCTCTAACTATTAAGTACCACTTAGCAGTGAGCTTTCGTGCCCTGCTGTTTTCTTTATGGGAGGGCTGTTTCTTTCCCTATTGCCTGACTTGTGCTTGCATCAAGGATTTTATCAGCACAACCTAAGTTGCTTAATTTATTGGTACAAATTTATTTATAATAGTTCATTGTTGTGCTTTTAATATTTTTATGCTCTGCAGTGATGCCATTTGTCATTTCTGAATCTGGTAACGCCTATCTTTTTCTTTTGCCTGTCTATGTCCTCTGGTCTGCTTCAGTGTTTCTATCCAATTTTTGTTAAGCTACCCTTAGTTTAAGAATATTTGGGGAGATCCCACAGATATTTTGCTGTTAAGTTAGAATTTAATTCTTTTTTGTCAGAACACACACTTTAGATAAATGCTTTTAAGTGTATTGAGAATTGTTGTATGACCTAGAATTTGGGCTGCTTTGGTAAATGTTGGAGGATGGAATTTTCTAGAAATAACAGACCAGTTGGGTCCATAGTGTTATTCATGTGTTCTATATTATTATTAATTTTCTGTTTGTGTATTTTATTAAAGAGAAATATTTACATCTCTGACTCTACTTATGATCTCTCCCTCTTTGTCATCCTAACTGCTTTGCTTTGTGTATTTTAAAGGTTTTTTTTAAATACATAGTGAGATACAATGATGTTCAAGATTATAATGTCTTTGTCAGGGAACTAACTAACCCTGTATTATGAAAGAGCTTTCTCCATCCATGCTCTTACTCTCTGTTCTGAGATTTCTTTCTCTGATGCTTGCATACTGGCCCAGCTTTCTTGTGACTCGGGTTATGCATGTCTTCCCATTTAAACAGTGCATTTGTGGGTAGCTCAGGGTTGACTCAACTTCTGAATGGGCCTGACAGTCTCTGTGCTTTAATGGGGGCTCTGGGACCACTCTCACTTACTGTCACTATTGACATGATTGGTACGGAGCCTCCATCCTTTCTGTCTTGTCTGCCTCTTCCTTTCCTTTCCCTCCCTCTTTTCCTCCTTCTCTCTTTCCTCTTTTCATTGTTGGACTATTTTTATGGCTCCATTTTCTTCTTTCTTACGGCTTATCAGACATGACTTCTATTTTTGTGTATTGGAGGTTTCCTTAGGGCCTGTTACAGACATGTCTACCTGGTATATTTCAGGTCGGGCATTTGGAGCATGAACCAACGAGACACTGAGTACCCTATGCCCTAGCAGATGATTGCTGACAGTCAGTGACGCCGTGACTGTCCTGTGTTGTCATTTCTGCACGTTGGCTTTAATCTCTAACTATGGCATTAGTCTCCTAAGTGAGGGCTCTGCGGACCCTCCTTCCCGGACCACCAGTGTGTTAGTGTATAGGGTCTTTGTCCTTCCTATTTGTTGTTGTTGTTTATTTTTATGTAGAGAGAGCATAGACCCCCCCTCCCCATGGAAGAGAGATACTGTGACCTTGACTTCCTGTTGTTGAACCCCCAAAATAACAGTATTACCAGGAGGAACAGACATGTCATCATCTAAGTTTATCTCACTCGATCCACGCAAAGCCACAGTTTCCCATTCTTAGAATGTCATGGTTTTTCAGGGCTTTTGAGTTTTTTTTTTAAGTATTGGACTTCCTGGTTATAAAAGAAAAACTTATGCTTTTGTTTTCTTTTCTTCTTTTCCAGCAAGTCACTGGCCGAAGTTTTGGCGATAAAGACTTCCGGACAGGGCTAGAAAATGGGATCCTTCTTTGCGAGTAAGTAGCACTTGCATTCCCTTGATTATTCTAGGAATGCCCTTGGTATTATTGTTTCTCTGTAAAATTTCCAGTGGAAGATTTTTTCTTTTTATTTATTTACTTTTTTTTTTTTTAAAGATAGGGCCTCATGTCTCATCTTGTAAATCTGGCTGGCTTAACACTCACCATATAGACCAGGATGCCCCTTGTACTCACAGAAACCTGCCTGACCCTGATTCCTGAATCTGGTCTCCAGTCTTTCTTATTTTTGACTCAGTTATAGTTTGAGTCTGTGTGCTTTAGGAGAAACCACTGGAATAGGCAGGGGACATGCATGGAGAGAGAGTCTCCATATACAAAGGGCGTGGTGGGAACCATAGTTTTAAATTAGATGGAGAAACAAAACCCACGGGTAGGCTGCAGTTCCCAGTAATTTCAGCCCCAGTAGTTGTAAGGATGTGGGGCTGACTGAGCTACAAGGGGACACAGTGTTTCTGGACACTCAAGGCATCTTAACAGCAGGCCAGGATATGTTCTCACTAGCCCTACTGTGTGCAGGGCTTGGGTACATTGAACTTGCGTTGTTGATAGAGTTCCAGAATAGATAGTCATGGCAGTGTCTGCTGTATTTTGGAGCAAGGCTCTGTCATAGAGCAGTTCTGTGAGGATAGAGTTAGGAGCTTTCTAGAAAGTGTCTTTAGTCATAAAATAATCCAGAGTATTAATATTTACAGATGTATATGAGCTTAAACTTTTAACCAGGACTTCAAATTTTGAATGTATTCAATAGACTATAATTTTGGCACTGGTTTCTATTTTAGTGAAGGGTAGTGGACGTTGTGAAGTCTTATATCAGCTTGACACAAGCTAGAGTTACCTGAAAGGAAGGAGCCTCCATTGAGAAAATGCCTTCATAAGATCCAGCTGCAAGGCAGTTTTTAAATTAGTGATAGAAGTGAAAGGGCCCAGTTCACTGTGGGTGGGGCCGTCCCTGGGCTGTCCGTCTGGGTTCTATAAGAAATCAGATTGATCAAGCCGTGGGGAGCAAGTCAGTAAGCAGCACTCCTCCGTGGCCTCTGCATCAGCTCCTGCCTCCAGGTTCCTACTCTATTTGAGTTCCTGCCCGAAACTCCTTCTGTGGTGAACAGTGATGTGAAAGTGTGTGCCAGAAAAACCCTTTCCTCCCCAGCTTGCTTTTGGTCATGGTGTTTCATCATAGCAATGGCAACCCTAAGACAGAACTGAAACCTGCACACTGTTCCTAAATGTGCAACCTGAGGGTTGGATGGAGATGTGCAAGCCCGTTCTACACCCCCACCAAGATATAACATAGAAACTTTCCCCTTAGTATTTCCCACCGAATTCCAGCTCCCTGGTGACTGCCCTGTCCCAAGCTCCCCTTCACCACAGCATGCTTTGAACTCTTCTTGAGCATTAGGTAAATGGAATCGCATATGGCGGGCTCTTATTTTGATGACTTTCAGAATATTGTTTGATGAGTTGAAATTTATGGGGATTGTAGAGTGAAAAATGAAATGTTCAAGTTCTTTCTTTCTTTGGGTCATTTAACCTCTTCCGGTCTCATTTTTCTCTAAATGGCAACACACATTTACCGCCCCACTGCATAGGCTCTTGAGGGACTCATCCTGTGGACAAGGCATTTTAACGGACTGCATAGTTCTTTATAAACACATTTATTTTGTAGACTTTTTTTCTACATAGTTTATGTCACATTTTCTTCTGCTTCTCCACTGCCCTTTGTTCAAGGAACAATTGGGGTCCCCAGATTGCTGTTTTGGTTCCCCTCTTCCTCTGAGGGGTCCTCTTCTTAGACCTTCCTTTCCCCAGCTCCTCTCCTCCATGTCTGTATCTAAACCGGAGCTCATCTGTAGGTGAACAGCCATTAGTTCAGCATCTCCCAGAGCTGAGCTGAGTAGACAGGCTCAGAGCCACCCTTCTGGGACAACACTTGCAGCTTGCTTGGAGCTGCTCATACTTTCTGTTGAAGTGGGTCTGTATTTTTGTCAACTTAACATACGCTAGAGTTATTTGAGCAGAGAAAACCTCAGCTGAGAAAATGCCCCCATCAGATTTTACCTGTAGGCAAACCTATAGGGCGTTTTCTTGATTGATGATTGACATGGAAGGGCCCAGATCACTGGACATGGTACCACCCTGAGCAGGTCGTTCTGGATGCTGAAAGAAAGCATGCTGAACAAGCCGTGGTCAGTAGTCCAGTAAGCAGCACTCTTCTGTGGCTTCTGCTTTAGCGCTTGCCTCTGGGTTCTTGCCTTGAGTTCCTGCCCTGACTTCCTCATTTATGGAGTATGACCTGGGAATAATTGTAAGATGAATAAACCAGAAGATTACAGAACTTTTGGGGCCTAGCTGGAGGAAGTGGGGCACAGCGGGGGGTACCCCTGACTTATCCTAGCGCCACTTCTTGTCCCTTCTCTGCTTCCAGATCTACCCAGTTGTGAGCAAGTAGCCTCACACTCTTCCCATGCCAGTGAGACCTAGCTTTGCCACCAGACCTTCCCTGAGATGCTGGACTGTGCCCTCAAACAATGGAGTCAAAATAAACCCCTTTCCTTAAGTGATTTCTTGTTAAAGAAAGTAAATAATACAGATTTGAAGTAGATGATATTGTCTATAAAAATTATTTAGGACTTTTGAACTTTGTGTTATTCAAATTCAGTTGGGAGCTTCTATCAGTGTTACGACCTTAGTTAGAAAATAAACTCGCATTTTCCCAAATTAGATCAATGCTCAGTAGTAGCTGCAGCTGTATAAAGACTTCCATGATCTTTGTGTGCCAAAAATGCCCTGGGTTGTTCATGAGTCTAAAGAAAAGTCTCTGTTGGTTCTCTCTGAGAAGTAAGGCACTTCCCTATAAGGATCCTGGCTGCAAATTAACCCATGGGTTCAAAAGTACCATCACTAAACCCATTTTACAGAAGGAATAGCCAAGGCACGGAAGAGGAGCAAATAGCTTTGGAAGCCCACGCAGAAAGAAATACTTCAGTTGAGGAACTTGGATTTAACAGCTTTGCTCCTTAAAACTGTTTGTGGAACTAAGGCTTTAGGGGAGAGAGAGGAGGGAGGCTGAGAGGCTGATGGGAGAAAGGCTAGAGGGTTGACGGAGGGGCAGTCCAGAGTTGACTGCTGGCTCTCAGCTGGGCAGAGAATGAACAAACTGGATGGCGCGATGGTCTTAGGAAAACAGAAGCATGAAGGGCCATCTGGTGGTCCTGATGGGACCAAAAGGCAGGACCATAGACTATAGAGCAGGGAGAGCTGGAAGAACAGGGGTCTGTGGTCAGCAGATGATGTCAATCAGGTGGAGATGAATGAGAAGGATGGCCCGGAACCAAAGATGAGAGTCAGCAGAGAGCAAAGATGGACACCTCCAGGCGGCATGTAAGATAATGAAAGACCCCCGCCCCAGCCACATTGTATAGGGAAAGTCCTCCTCGGGGGTCTTTCAATGAGAAGTGAGTAGCATCAGAATCCCCTCCCCCAGCTCTCTCTGCCTTCACATGGCTTTGTGCTGTAACCCTGTAGAGGGACCCTCGTGTATATAGGTGTGTATAGTTTACGTGTAGGACTAGCAAGTATAGAGTGAGCACATTCTTTTAGTTCCAATACATGTGTTTTTCTCTCAGCAGCTCACCTTCCTCTGTTGTTTTCGCACTTTTGTTGTATGTCGTGGAGGTGCAATGCCGAAATGTCCTGAGCCCCTTGCTGAGAGTTTCATAAGAGGTCTGGGACCAAAGTGTGACAAAGCTCCAAGTGTCACGTGTACGTGATAAGTGTCACACTATCAGAAATAGGAACCAAGTGCCACACCGTTTTCTTGAGGATGTATGGGTCCATGAAGAAGCCGCTCCTGGGATGGAATGGTGACTACGGCTGTCCAGACTGCCTTGAAATCACTCTGGAAGGGGAAGTTTCTGCCTTCCTGTTCTACCATGACTTTGTCATTTAGACAGACATCCAAAGAATTTCACATAGATACCAGACTGGCAAATTATGGTCCTCTGCTTATTTTTGTACCGGACACCTTGTTCGGAATAGTCTTTATGTATTAAAATGCCTTTTTAGAGGAACTGGATGAGCCCCCAAAGGACTATGAGATTGACTTTAGATATAAATCGCTTATTCTTATAAAGCGAGGTGATTGAGTTTGATCAATGCAGGATATTATTTTGGTAAATCAAATATTTTTTTTAAACCGAAGAATCACTCAGGAATTTCTTTCAACTTTTCCCTTCAACTTTTTGTTTTGAACAATTTCAAATGTGTATAAAACTTATAATAATATACAGACACCTGTATATCATGCACCCAGGAATACTGATTACTCTCCTTTTGCTATATTTATGTTATTTATTTGCATACATCCCTCTTTTTGCACTAAGCATTTGAGAGTGAGATACAGATATCATGAAACTCAGTTCCTAAATTCTCGAATGTGCATCATCTAAGTCCAAGGATATTCTCCTGTAAGACATTCAGCCACACCCCAAAGCCGTGTGAGAAAGCACAGTGAGACATTCAGGGTGACTCTGCTTGGCACTCCACCACTAGCTGTCCCTATTATTGTCAGTGGAACTAGGCCAAAAGCCAATTATGGTGATGACGTGGTCAGCGCCCCCCCCCCCCGTGTCACCGCACACCCGTCCGCGCTCTCCCAAGGGCTGCCAGCTCGCAGCAGGGTGAAGGAATTTGCGTTTTACTTCCTAACTTCTCTTGTCTGGTTGGTGAGCAAAAACTGGGCAAGACATATTGAGCCCCTTTCAAACCCGATCATCTGTGAATAATGAACTTTGGCTGGCAGGGCTTGGGAACTAGAATGCTTATTTCGCAAACAAAAACCCTGACCACTGTACTGATGTCACCTCCTCCTGCTTCTCCAGTTTGCAGTGGCTTCTTCCTCGGGCAGCCTGGGTAGAGCTCTCCAGGCAGACCCAGTGGGTTTCTCTCTGTGGCTTCTAAGTACCATTTTAAATCTCACT